GGGTGGGCGTACCGTGTGCGGAGGAAACTGGGACAAGGCGACACGCGAGGCAATCGGAATATTGCGGATTCCGACGTCGATGGGAATTTGACGGATGATTGACGTGTTCTTTCTTTGAATCCGTGACACGCGAGTATATGCATTCGAGGATTTAGTTGATTTGATATCCTCGAGCTAGGTCACGGAAGATAATCGGAACGACGTCGGAAATACACGTTTGTATTTGTAAATATAACGCAAACAATGTTGGCGTGCGTTTTCTCGCTTCTGACGTCATTAAACAAGGACAATCACAGCGACTATTCCGGAGCCTTAATCTGGCGATTGTATCGCATCACTTAGCTTGGTTTGCGTTACCTTAAATACAGTCTTCAAGATCGTAATCAGGTTATTTAGTGTGTATCCCAAACGAGGGGTGGGAGTGGGAGGGTTCGTTAGGAATGCATAGTACTATCACGCGGAGTTAGGGTCGATGTGCAATTTCCGATAAAGAAAAGCGTCGTTCCGCGACGCGCGTCGCCGAATCCGAGGTTATTTCGCCGATCGGGATTCGCGGACAGGGTGAACCGGGCGCGCGGCGAGAGAGAATCGCTTCTCAGAATGCCGAGCCGAGTGAGAGAGGCTCGTTGGCATAAATTATCGAAAAGTACAGCCCTCGAAAATCCTCTCTTCTCGTGTGTGCGCACTCGCCTTCGAAATTGCCTCCCTAAAATATGAGAATTATTGCCCGTGGCTGCGTTCTGTCTCGCTCGCGACTGTTACTGCGTTTCTTATTTTTCGAGCTTCCTTTTCTTTCTGTGGCGGGATCCACGCAGCCACCGGCATCATCGGCGAAAGAGAATGCGAAAGAGAAAGAGGGAGAAAGAGAGAGAGAGAGAGAGAGATAGTCTCCACCTCGGTCACGAATGCGCGCATCGCGAGCGTCGTTTGTTTTGATCTTTTATCTCACGGAGAAAATATCTCTCCGAGCGTCAATTCGTAAGAGTAAATCAGCTGGCAAAAAGCGAGCCTTTCAATATCTCCCTTTTCTTTCTCCTCTCGAGCCCTCCGCGTGCGTGCATGCGTGCGTGCGATCGCTTCGCGTGGTCAGTCGCGGTTCATTGACCTTTGAACTCTCTAACTGTCCGGACGCGACCGCATCCGAATATCGTCCTGTCATCGTGCCCGAATCCTGTCGACGTCGACATCGCGACGCGTCGTCCCGCGACGTGTCGTCCTACGGGCTAAATTAATCCAGTCGACTCGCCATCATTATTCAGATAATTTCCGAAAATGGCACTCGCGCGTCAAATATTCCCCATCATTTTGCCGAGGCAAGATG